ACCCAAGCTTTTTCTTTTTCTCTCTCTCGTCTGTATGGAATGTTTTCCATCTCTTCACTTTCAGTCTGTATGTGTCTTCTTGTCTGAAGTTAGGTCTCTTATAGGCAGCATAGAGATGGGTGTCAATTTTAACGGATTCAGTCACCTTGTGGCTTTTGATCAGAATATTTAGACCATTCATATTTAAAGTAGTTATTGATAGGTATGTATTTATTGTCATTTTGTTAATTTTTTTGATTGCTTTTGTAGTTCTCTTGTTTCTTTATTCTCTTGCTCTCTTCCCTTGTGATTGGTAACTTTCTTTAATACTATGCTTGGATTCCTTTCTTTTTAGTTTTTTTTGTGTATCTATTACAGGTTTTTGTGTTGTGGTTACCGAAAGGTTCACATAGAACAGGAATCCTAAGTATATAGCAGTCTATGTGAAGTTGATGGTTGCTTAAGTTCTAATACTTCCTAAAAGCACTGCATTTTACTTTCCTATCTATCTTTTCTGTACATTTTATATCTTTTTATTTTGTGAATCCCTTAATTTTTTAGATACAAATAATTTAACTCCTGTTAGCTTTTAACCTCCATACTAGCATTGTAAGTCGTTGATGTACTATATGTTTGCCTTTACCCTTGAAAGTTTTTCCTTTCATAATTGTCTTAACTCTGGGTCTTGGCTAAGACCCTTTAACATTTCTTGTAAGGCTGGTTCACTCGTGGTAAGAGAGGTCAAAGTGGTAAACTCCTTTAACTTGTTTGGGAAATTCTGTCTCTCCTTTTATTTTGAGTGATAACCTTGTATTGTAGACTGTTGGTTGTAAGTTTTTTCCTTTCAGCAGTTTGAATATATCTTGTCCCTGTCTTTTGATCTGCAGTGTTTCTGCTGAAAAAATCAGCTGATATCCTCACGGGTTTTTTGTTGTTGTACCTAATTGGTACATTCATAATTGGTTTCCTCATTGCTTTTACGATTTTTCTCTGTTTAATCTTTGACATTTTATGTTTTAAAATGTTTTTTGTGTTTATTTTTGAGAGAGAGAGAGAGAGAGTGTGAGCAGGAGAAGAGCAGAGAGAGAGGGAGACACAGAATCTGAAGCAGGCTCCAGGCTCTGAGCTGTGATCACAGAGCTGGATGTGGGGCTCGAACTCACGGCGTGATCGTGACCTGAGCTGAAGTCAGACACTCAACCGACTGGGCCACCCAGGCACCCCTAATCTTTGACATTTTAATTATTATGTGTTTTGGTATGGACCTTTTTGGGTTTATCTTGTTTGGGGCTCTCTGATTCCTGGACCCGGATGTCTATTTCCTTCCCTGGGTTAGAGAAGTGTTCAGCTATTGTTTCTTTATGTAAGTTTTATGCCCCTTTCTCTCTCAGCTCCTTCTGAGAATCCCTATAATGCAAATGTTAATATGCTTGATTTTGTCACAGAGGTCCCTTAACCCTCTTCATTTTTTAAAATTCCTTTTTTTTTTTTTTT